CACCCGGTAAGTTTGTCATTAGTGTTTGTGTTTTTCTTCGTGTGCGCGAGCAGTGGAGGAGAGTTTATCATTATATAGATGTGGGAGACAGACGGGCTTCCCGACTCTTGGGGGTCTGGAGGGCCCAGCAGAAAAGAAACAAGAGAGGAAGACAGTGGTGGGAAGAGTCGTCATCTCTTCTGGAAGTGGGAGGAGGCTTTCTAAGGAGTGGGCAGCCACCCCTTTTCACACACTTATCGTTCTTTTAGTCTTGGCCATGGCAACTGTCAGTGTGCCACGAAGGGTTTGCAATTCAGTGTACAAATCAGAATGAAGCTCCAGCCTATCCGGTTGCCCTGGCAGCTGTCTGAGATCCCGCCTCCTGGGAACCCCACCCTCAGCAAGGTGGGTGTCCTCAAGTCCCCCCGGGTCCTGGGGATGAAGGGTGAGGAAGCAGCCTGCTCCTCGTTTCTTTGCAGAGACCCCTCCTGATGACACATACCTACTCTGCCTGCGACGCTCTGCTCCTTCTTTGAAGGGCTTATTCATATCTTTAGGCTACGTATCTGGGCGTTTTGCCTGCATGTGTCTGTGTATCACGCATATGCCTGGTCTGGTACCCTTGGAATCCAAAAGAGGGCATCAGATGTCTGGGACTGGAGCTATAGATGGCTGTAAACTGCTTTGTGGGCGCTGAGAATTGAACCCAGGTCCTCTAGAAGAGCAGCCATTCCTCTTAATATTGCTTTTGTTGCAATATTTTATCACAGCCTGCCTCTGCCTCCCAAGTGCTGGGATTAAAGGTATGTGCCACTGCCTCCTGTCTGCAAGGTTTTTTTTTTTTTAAAGATTTATTTATTTTTTTATGTATGAGTACTCTGCTTCTATGACTTTATGCAAGAAGAGGGCACCAGATCTCGTAACGGATGGTTGTGAGCCGCCATGTGGTTGCTGGGAATTGAACTCAGGACCTCTGGAAGAGTAGTCAGGGCTCTTAAACACTGAGCCATCTCTCCAGCCCCTAAATTTTTATTTTAAATAATTGATCTGAGAAGACCCAGCCTAAAGGTGGGTGACACCATTCCTGGGTTTGGGTCCTGAGCCATATAAAAGAGGAGAAAGCAATCTGTCGACAGACACACCCGAAGAGAGTGGTCTCTTTCTGCTCCTGACAGCGGCTGTGGATAGATGCTTCAAGTTCCTGCTTTGACTCCACGAGGATAATGGACTGTAACCTAGAATTGTGAGCCAAGTAAACTGTCTCCCTTACAGTTGCTTTTATCGCGGGGTATCTTGTCACAGCCATCGAAGGGACCCTAAGACAATAGGATCACACTTCTGTGGCTAGCGTCTTCAGGCTTTCAGGTTCATCTATGTTCAGTCTCAGTACCTTGCTCCTGTATGGCTAAGTACTATTCTATTGCATGGCTGGACCACATTCCGTTTATCTGGGACTCGAACCCAGACCCTTGTGCATATGATAGGTGCTTGGACACTGAGCTTGCCCTTCCCCTCCCTGTGGTAATTTTTTTTTTTTTTTAAGGTCTGATCCAAGCTCCATCTTGTTCAGAGAAGTTGCAGAAGAAGGTTGTTGTTGCTGTTGTTTTTAACCTTGCAGATAAAATGTCAATATAAGCTCCTAGCTTCATTTCTGTGGCTGTGATAGAATATTGCAACAAAAGCAACTCTTATGTGAAGAGGACACATAGGGGCTGGTGGTCGCATCTCCAGCCTAAAGAAAGCAAATGGGTAGAGGAAGGGAAGGGAGGGGAGGGAAGGGGAGGGGAGAGGCGAGCTCTAGGCTGGAGTAACCTTTAAAAAAAAAAAAAAGCTAGTAAACTGCCTTAAAGGAAAAAGAAAACATCAGAATTAGGAGAAGGACTTGAAGAGGAGGGAGGAATACAGGTGCTCCTGAGAGCTCACCCCCAGTGTCCTAAAGACCAGTGTCCCCCGACCTGTGGCCCAAGGACACCATCCCCCACAGTGCCACCCTCAGAGCCAAGGCCTAAACATAGTCATTGTGGGGACTTCTAAGTTAACATCTCAACCACAGACTGACGCATGGAGAGGCTCAAAATCTTTATTTCCTCCTTCAGTGGTATCTTCCTTCTGTCTGCAAGGATGCTGGGGTCTCACCACACTTTATTACCACACCTTTCTCTGCTTCTGCACACCCACTCAGTGGCTAATCACCCTGAGTTTGACTTTCCTGGCAGCCAGCGGCTAATGTCACTGCTGTCTGCCGGAGCCACGCCCACACATTGGTCCAATCTGTTTGCCTTGTTCCTCCTCCGCCTCCGCCAGGTATAACTTGTTTTCCTGTCTGTTTCTTAACTTGTTTGGGAGATCCTGGAAGCACAGTCCTTTCCAGGATACCTGCCTTGTTGGTCGTCAGCACTGGCTGTGAGGATTCTGATGAGCCGTGTAGGCGCCCTTGTTCCAACACAAGACAGCGCATGTGCCCAGACTCTGTCCTTTCAGTTAAGAGATCAATAGCTTCTCCTTGCTCTTATTATTATTGCTATTGTTATTTTTATTTTATGTGCAATGGTGTATGTCAGACCCCCTGCAACTGGAGTTACAGTTATGAGCTGCCATGTGGGTGCTGGGAATTGAACCCCGGTCCTCTAGAAGAACAGTCAGTGGTCTTAACCACTGAACCACCTCTCCAGCCCTCTCCTTGCTCTTGTATGTGACCCCGGAACATACCAAGATTTGTTTATCAGGCTGTGGTTTCCTGGCACCCGGAGGCCATATGCATAGGAGAAAGAATACAACTTTGGCCTCAGAGGGACCGGTGTGATTTTGACGGGGTTCTGAGTGTCACCAAAAAGCTTCGAGGAAGGCCTGCCAAGCTCCCCTGGTGTTCGTAGAAGTCACTGTTGCTTTCGCACTTAGGGAACCTTTGATATTGTGTGGTTATAGCGTGCTAACCACACGTCTCTGTGTGCAGGACTTTCACCACCCATAGAAGTGTCTTCTCACTTCAACCACACAGCACAGCAGCCCTGTTCCACCATCCACGTTCTCCCCGGGGGGGGGTGGGGGGTTGGGTGCAAATTACACACTGGCTGAAAGGTCGCCCTGGGCTGAGTGTAGGCTAGCCCACAGATGTGACTCCTAGATGGCCGTTAGTTCTAACTAAGGAACCTCACCAGTACTTCACGTGGCAGAGCAGGCGGTCTGCACCGTGTTCTGAAGAGTACGCTGGGCCACCCTGAGCTGACCCCACCTTCCTTCGCAGCTAGTCTTTCCCTAGCTTCATGGATCTGCTTCAGGAGGGCCGGCCTTACCCAGCTAGGGGTCTGGTCACCTTCATGGATTGTCCAGGACACCGGCTGCTCCTACAGGGGTGTTATAGAATCCAGTCCTGTAGATTCTAGAGGACTCTTTTGTGTCTGTGTCTGGCCCCGGCTAGGGGGACTCTCCTGAGCTGCCGCCATGTCCTCAGGCACAAGCTTAGCTTCCTCCTAATTTAGGAGTTGTCTCTTCAACTCCCCCACTCCACCCAGCCAGGGCGCCAGGGCACCAGGGCGCTGTGGCGTCCCTGACAGGACTCCCACAGAGATTGGACACTGATCCTTAACTACATCCAAATGCACAGCTCACCCAGTGCTATACTCCATCCCTCCCAAGGGCTCTGCTGCTCCCTTCCCAGAGATGAGCCTTCAGGGTCCTGTGACCCACACACCACACACCTCTGTGGTGTCACCGCAAGGCCAAAGGGAACGAGCCAGGGCCATTACTGGCAGTGAGGCCACCTACTCCAAGATCTTGTCCAGAGCCTGGATAAGGAGCACCCAGTTACAGTTCCAACCCAGCCCACGTGCTACACATCATACATTCATTCATGTGGGCAAACACACATGAACACGAACCCAACCCACGCGGTACACATAAATCATACAGGCAGACACACATACATGAACCCAGCCCATGTGGTACACATGCATTCATGTGGGCATACATGCATATATGAAAACCAGAAAATTCTTTTCTAAAAGTGACTATCTCAAAAAACAAAATGGATGCTGGGAGGTGGTGCTGCCCCCCCTTTCATCGCAGCAGAGGCAGGGGGATGCCTGTGAGTTCGAGGCCAGCCTGGTCTACAAGAGCGAGTTCCAGGATGGCCAGGGCACACAGAGAAACCTGGTCTTGAATCCCCCCAAAAAATGAATTGCAACATCCAAAGTTGACCTCTGGCCTCCACACTCACATGACCCACACGTGTACACCCACAGAAACACGCATGTGCACCCACACATGTACACCCACAGAAACACGCATGTGCACCCACACATGTATACCCACAGAAACATGCATGTGCACCCACACGTGTACACCCACAGAAACATGCATGTGCACCCACATGTGTGCACCCATCACATGCATGTGCACCCACAGAAACATGCACGTGCACACACAAAATAAACAATACAGCAGTTCTCCCTTGTCTAAGAAAACTTCAAAGCCCCAGTGGACACCTGAAACCTCGGGTGTCACCACGCTCCATACTATACTGTGCTAACCTATACAGAAGTATTTCTATCCATGCAGCTAAGTACATGTTTAACACACTTGCATAGTATGCACTGGGCAGAGTGGGGGATTAAGAACGACAACATGGTAAGACAGCACGGTTATAACATACTAGACTCTTCCAGTGACGTCCTTTGCTCTCAGAATACCCTGTTGAACTGTACTCATTCCCCCGGTCATGATGATGTCATGCCTAAAGGGGACATTAAGTGAGGTGACCCATGTAGCCTGGCGATGATGTCAGGTTACTATCTTCGGGTCCCTTGACACCGCACTGTGTGAGCCATACTGCAACAGTCGACTGGACAACCACAGCTACCGAGTGACTGGGTAGAGTGTGCTGTGTGCACACACCGGTCAAAGGGGTGAAGTGGAGGTGCGGGTGTGTATCCCACCCCTCAGACTATCATGCAAGCGGAAATGTGAAAACACAGGCATCACGTCGTGGGACATGCACACAGCACAAACGGCACACAGTGTGCTCACTGCTCCAAAGCGCTTTCCAATTAACTCTAGATAAGGGAATGGGCTACAACATTAATTACTTTTTTCTTTGGGGGTCAAGGTCCAGCTGATTTCCATAGGTATTGAGCAAGCCAATCCAGGAAGGGGTCAGGGCTGCTCCTCCAACTTTCCCCAGAAGCCTCAATTCCAGCAGGAGCCTATGCAAGAGGAGAACGTCCCCAGGACTCATCAGTGCAGGGGTTAAAAGGATTCAATAAAGAAAGCTGCTATTCCAGCTGGGCACACACACCTGTAATCCTAGCACTCAGGGGGCAGAGGCAGGTGGGTCTCTGAGTTCGAGGCCAGCCTGGTCTACACAGTAAATTCCAGGACAGCCAGGGCTACACAGAGAAACCCTGTCTTGAAGAGAAAAAAAAAAAAAAAAAAAGAAAGGAAGGAAGAAAAAAGGGAAGAGAGGAGAGGAGAGGAGAGGAGGGGAGGAGAGGAGAGGGGGGGAGGAGAGGGGGGGGGGAGAGGGGGGGGGGGGAGGAGAGGAGAGGCGAGGAGGGGAGGAGAAGAGAAGAGGGGAGGAGGAGGGGAGGGGGAGGAGGAGGAGGAGGAGGAGGAGGAGGAGGAGGGGAGGAAGCCGCTGTCCTGTGAGCTCTCTCTCTGCCAGCCCCTCCTGACTGGCCAGCTCTGCCCAGGTGTTGGTCCCCTGCTGCCTTCTTGAGGTTAAGAAGAAGCCGTGTTCCCTGATTGATGTACAAGGATTCATGAAGCACGCAGCAAATCCTCCCCGCCTTCCCTTGCTCTAGGTCTCCAGGCCAGAAGAGAGTGTAATCCTTCTACACCCGCTTAGATGCTTAGATTTTCTGTCATTTTTGTTTTAACTTTTCCCCTTTCAGTTCTGGAGAACCCAGGGCATGGCAGGCAAATGCTCTACCACTGGGCCACATGCCCGGGACTTCCCTCCTTAGTCAGGCCAGACTGTTAGTAAGTTAATAATGAAAAGATCAGTGCCAGCCCAGGATGTGTGTTCTCACCAGGTTTTGGAGTTGAGATAGTGAAGGCATCGCAGTGGGCAGCCTGGGGGGCTTTTGGGTGCAGAAGGATTGTCCTGGAAAGGAAGTGGTGAGGAGGAAGTGCTGGGACAGTGGCCCTCTGCCTCCCGTCAGTGTGACACCGCAGTGGGATGCTTAACAGTTCGCATTTGTCTATGATCTAGCCCCCAACATGGAAATACATTCTCTAGCTTCCTGCGCAATGAAAAAACAGCTGAAAAAACCAACTTACAGGAAGGGAAACTCATGTTGGCTCACATCTTCAAAGACTGAGATCCGAGGCTGGCCAGGCCTGTTTCTTCAGATCAGTGGTGACACACAGCAGAAGTTCCTGGCTGAGGAGGCAGAAAGCAGAAGCACTGGAGGTCATCGGAACCTTCAATAGCGCCCCCAATGACCTGTCTTCTTCCCTTCAGGCCTACAGCTGTGCCCAATCCTTTGGGATTCCTGCAATTTTTGTCGTAAGCCACTGAGTTTGTGGTCACATGTTACATCAGCAATATGGGAACCAATGGAAAGAAGCCCGGGCAGGCTCATGGTATTCATGGTTGTGGGTCATGGTTCACTCACCCCTGAACTGGGGGCTCCCAGGCTGACTGCCTGCCATGCTAGGCATTCTATATGGGAGGTGAGGCCTCCAGAGGGGTCTCAGTAGGTCCCAAAGCCCTATGGAAGGCCCCCCTTTCCTGGGAAGGTCTCAGGGCCATATTAAAACAGCAAGTCTTTTTACTTGTGGCTGGGATTACACCTACCTCGATGTGGTAACCCAGTCTGTCTCCAGAAACACTGACTGGCAACTCTCAAGGGGTTGCAGCAGGAAGTGAGTTAGACTCAGCTTTGTGCAGTACATTTATGTTGTAGCAACACAAGCAGCCACTGCCACTTCCTAAACAGAAGCTGGGTGGGAAGAAGCCGTCCGTCCGTTTCCAGCAACTCTGCCCTGCGGGTCTCCTCACACATTGCCACAGTCAAAGCCCAAGAACTGTCCAAAACATGCACACATGGACACACACCACAGATACATGCATGTGTATGCACACACACAAACCTACACACGTACTCACAAATGCACACCCACATCTACACACATGCACACAGGAGAAAGACTCTCGACTCACAAATAAACAAGACCAGGAAGCAAGAGTCACAAGAGGGTCATGCTGTTTTACCTTGCTACAGTGGCTGCTCTTTCTATAGCAATACCGCCCAGCCGCTGGTACCGCCCAGCCGCTAAGGCCATAGCTGGGGGGAATTCTGTTCCTGTTGCTGCTGCTAAAGGTAGCTTTACTAAATCTCTATCACTCTAAGAGAGATTCAAAGGCAAGGGTGAAAACCTGCATGCCCAGAGAGCTAGAGTAGCAACTGGCTAGCTTTCTCTCTTCACTGTGGCCCCCAGAAGCCACTCCCTTCCACAACACCCCAACTTAAAAAAACAAAACAAAACAAAACAACATGCTAAGCCCCTCCCTGCTACTTCCTGTCAACCAATTGCTAAGCCCACCTCTCTGAGTCCAGGTTAATTTTATTTAATTAACGAAAATGCAACACACCTTTACATAGTTAACAACGGCAGCACGAAGAGATGTTAACACATCTTTGCCTGGTTAAACAAATACTCCACAACAGGTTCAGGTGCTGAGCACAGTAACGGAGTCATGCCAGAGTATACATCTGGGGGGAAAGATTTAAATCCTTTTTCAATTGCTGAACACTTCTTGGAGAAGAGTGCAAATACCATCCCCCACTACCATACAGCATGCAAGCCAGTTTCCCCCATTTGGGGATATCTTAGGGGTCAGCACATCTTGTGCGTAATGGGTAAGGCTTGCCCTGGAAGATCACCTTCACAGCCATGGTCTGATGCCAGTTAGTCTGATATATATATATGGGTGGGTTTCGAGACAGGGTTTCTCTGGCTTTGGAGCCTATCCTAGAACTCACTCTGTAGACCAGGCTGGTCTTGAACTCACAGAGATCTGCTGCCTCTGCCTCCTGAGTGCTGGGACTAAAGGCGTGCGCCACCACCACTGGGCCAAATATATATTCTTAAAACAAGGGGAGTCACGATGGTCAAGTATGGAAAATGCTAGAAAAGGGATCTGAGTGGATGTTTACAGAGAGCCGGAATAATCATCTTTAGCCAATAGAGGAGATGAGGTGAAATTCTTTTGGTTTTTATGGGGTTGATGAAAAAATTGTTGAAGAGGCTGAGGAGCATTTAAGGGCACTGGATGCTCTTGCAAAGAACCTTGGTTTGAGGCCCAGCACCCACGTGGGCAGCTCACAGCCATGGATCTGACACCCTCTTCTGAGCTCAGTAGGCACCAGGCCTGCGAGGAGTTCACAGACACACATGCAGGCAAAACACGCAGACATGTAAAATCAAATAATTACAAAAGAGAATAACTGTTGAAGAATCAGGCATCTGTGAGGTGGGCCAGGTAGTCACTGGAAGTGGGTATTGGCAGTTTGGGGCCAGTGAAGACGTGCAGTGTAAAGTCGCTCCCACGGCAGATGAAGCTGGCACCGCTGAGTAAAATCACTGTGTTGTATGCAAGAGGGGGCTGGGAACCTGAGTTTTCTTGGTGGACACTGTATTTGTAAGACTGAAAACTCCCCGCAGAGAGCAAGACTCTGGCCAGTTCGAGAGCGAGGCCCACAGCCATGCTTTGCATCATAGGTTTGTGAGAGAGTCAGTGGAGTCAGGTCACAGCACAGGACTGAGGGAATGGGACCACTTGTCACTGGAGGGTTGGACACAACCCCAGATCTGCTGACAGTACCTGCAGTGACTCACACTCATCAGTCTGACGCCTCCCTGATCTTCTCTGTGACTTACAGTAACCGCCACTGCACTGAGCCTGGAGTCTGTCCAGAACAACAGCTCCACTGTGCTAACTGCCAGGCTCTTCCTGGAACATTACCGGATCCCAAATCCCAGAGAGTAACTTTTATTTTACACACACACACACACACACACACACACACACACACACACGAGATGATCTTAATCTTTCTAGAAAACAGATGAATCTGAGGCTCTACAAACTAACAAGAGATTCCGAGACACACGTCCTCCCTGGAGAGTCCATGCAAACCAAACCTCAGGTCTTCCCTTTCCAGTTCCCACTGGGAACTTCCAGTAACAAAACTGTCAGGAGACTGGCGGGAATTTGCTCTTTCCTGCAGATTTCATTTCAGTCCCAACTTTCCCACCACACACACTCATGATTTAAATCTTGGCCACCAGCTGGTGGTGCTAATTCAGGAGGCCTAGGAACCTTTAGGAGACCGGGCCTAAGTGGCAGAATTAGCTCTCCAGGGGTGAGTGTTCAAGGTTTCACTTGTCCCTGGTTGCTTCCTCAATCTCTGGTCCTCTGTGACAGCCTCCACACTGTCCCCGATGTGATGGGCGGAAACTCTCTGAAACCGTGAGCAAAAACAAGCCATTCCTTGAGCAAGTTGGAACTGCAAAGGTCACTAGCACTTTTGCCAATGTTCCTGAGCCTGATCCTGAAAAACAGGTTGCCTAGCAACAAACCAAACCTTCATTCGCCCAGTGATCATCAGGGTCCTACTGGGTTCAACTCAAGCAGGCTCAGTCTATATCCACAGAGGGCACTGAACCGCAAACACACACAGAAGTCAGTGGGCCTGTTACAGCGGAGTCACCCTATAGACACCGACAGTGTGGTCCCAAGCAATGGGAGACAGCAGTGAGGGAGAGGCCCAAAGTTCTCTGGGAGCAGAAGCCCAGGCCAGAATTTAGACTGTGGGTATGGGAACAGGGGGCCAGGGAAAGTCAGGAAGAGGAGCAAGGTCCACAGCAGCAGAAGCAGAGAAGCAGGCCCGGGTGACCATCAAGAAACACAACCCCAGAGACTCCCTGGTAGAGAACAGCCATGAGCAGAGAGAGCGATAGTGGGCCTCGGAATGAATGAATGGCAGAAAGAACAGCAGCAGCAGAGGTTAGACACGAGCAAGCGAGCGAGCGAGCGAGCGAGAGGCAGCAGGCTTTGAAGTCAGGCAAGAGTGAGGGAGCCCACACCACACTTACTGGTCATGTGATCTGCAGCAAGCCCAGTCAGGCTTTGATCAGAGGAGCAGAGCCATTATGCCATGTGCACACGTGCACATGCATGCCTGTAAGTAGCGTGTTATAAACGTTTAATCTGATACCGTTATAGGGGGACCACAGTCTATGTGGCGTGTCTTTCCTATGTCTGAGGGTGAAGCACTTGGGCAGGAAGTGGACAGGAGGTGATGGAAGCCAGGACAAGCTGACACCTAAGGCTGTCTAGAATCCAAGTGTCTCTATCCGATACCAGGCCTCCCGCAGGGAAAGCTGGCATCTTTCGTCACAGAGAAAAACTAAACAGGCCTGGCCCAGGACAGGAAGCAGCTGTAGCGGAAGAACCAAGATCCGGCAGGGACTCATTCCTGCTGTCCGAGATGCCAACAGGTAAGTCACACTCAGTGAGCTGTGACAAGGTTTCACCCACAACCCAACCTCCCCAGAATAAGAGTTACATCCACACATTCCCTGCTACCCAATAAAGTCTGAGTACAACCTGTCTCCACCCATTCTGACTCTCGGAAGTGGGGTCACAGCTAGGCAAAGATGACACAATACAGATCCCCTCCTGGGAACAGTACCTAGCTCTGATGGCTTCCGAATCTGTGCACTGAAGGATCCAACATGGCCAGGTGCATCACTGCTTCCCTCTGTCACTTTCATCCACCTGCTTTGGGGATATTTAGACTGTGGGTATGGGAACAGGGAGTCAGGAAGAGGAAAATGTTTCAGGATTGACTGTCTGGAAGGCAGTGACCTCTGGGAAGAAGGGGGGGGCGGGCAGATTCAGGTTTCGTGAACCTAAAGGTCATATATATGTGAGCTCTCTTCATATAACATAATATACAATAAAGAATATAAAAATTAGGCACAATGGTATTAATTTGTAATGAGAAAACAAATGACAGATTATCATTTTAAGGCTGCCAAATTCACTAGCGTCACAAAAATCTAGAAAAATAAGGAACACTGTGACTTCCCACCATGCTTTACAGTGCCCTTAGAATTTACTATGTCACCCTTGCCTCTATGACCTTGCATAGAATCATTTGGAAACAGGAAGGCATTCAGCCCCTTCTGTGGCATGATTTATCAAAATTTGCTTTTTAAATAAGTTCAGAAAGCTACTTTCAACTTCACAATTAGTCAAGACACGTGTTAAGTGTAATGTAAGATGCCAAACGTTGAACTCTATATATGTGGACACATTCACATATATGTGTATTTACATACAAATAAATTTAGTCTTTCCTCTGGCATGACTAGCACAAATTTTCTTTTTTAATATTTTGTTTTTCAATGTGTGTCTGTCAGAGAGTATATGTGCTACGCGAGTGCAGGGCCCAGAGTCCAAAAGAGGTTGTTGGATCCTGCAGGCAGACTTTTCTGTCCTGCCAGCCGGCTCGCAAATGGCCACACAGAGACTTACTATTAACTATAAATGCTCAGCCAATTACGAGGCTTGTTATTAACTAGTCTCACAACATAAACTAACCCATATTTCTTATCTCGGCTCTACCATGTGGCAGTACCCTTCCTTTTTCAGCGAGGCTTGCTCTCCTCTTGCTTCCTCTGGTGACTCCCCGGTCTTCATCCCCACCACTCTCCTTCACAAGTCCCACCTAACCTCTACCTTCCTGGCTACTGGACGTTTAACCCTTTACTAAGCCAATGAGAGCAACAGATGTTCACAGGGTACAATGGGTTGTTCCCCGGCAGGATTCCCTGGAGCTGGGCTTGCAGGAGGCTAAGTAAGAGCTGCTGGCGGGGCTGCAGAGAACTGGACTTGGGTCCCTTGCAAGAGCAGCCAGTGCTCTTACCGCTGATCCAACTCTCCATCCCCTAAAATTTGTTTTTTGTTATTGATGGCTTAGAAAGTTTCTTTAACTTCACAGCTACTCCTGATCTACATCCATATATGCAATAAAACATCATGGCATTTCTCAAGACTCTTGTAGCCACCCCAACACATGAGAAGTGTGTCAGAAAGAAACTCAAAGAGGAAAGACACAGAGGTTGTAACAGAATGGCTAAAATCTCCTACTCTGCAGATTTCACAAAAGCACATGACCAGGGGATCAAGAGCCTGCTCAGAAGAGCACTGGCTGCTCTTGCAGAGGACCTAAGGACCCACATGGCAGCTCACAACCATCTATAACTCCAGTTCTGGGGGGTGTGATGTCTCTTCTGACCTCACAGGCTCCTGCACACATGTGGTACACACACACACACACACACACACACACACACAGGTACACACACACATTAAAAAAAATAAATAAACATTTTTAAGAGCATGTGACCGTGTGCACGCAGAGCCAGGAACAGCTCTTGCTCTCATGGTCTTGGAAGATGCAAATGAAATGCCCTGAGGTTTCATCTTTTTACTGTGTCCACAGTAAATGTGCCTCCAAAAGGAACAAATAGCTGGGAACACAGTTAAGAGAATACGCAGAAAAGGAGCACGTGACTCAGTGTTACACAGATGCACAGAGGGAAAGACAGAGCCAAGACTGTGGGCCATACACCTTTCACAGTAAGCCAGTAAGACTGAGTTCCTGTTATCTGCAGTAGAAGTTAAGAGCCGTCTACCAAGGACAGGCTCTGCAGGAAGGGCAGGACTCAAGCCAGCGCAGAGTTGGCCTTGCCCTGACAAAGTGGCCTTGGGGCAAGGAGAGGATCACTTGCATTTGGGGTACTGTATGCTTGAGGTGTGGGGTGCCAATCCCTTTGGCACTGTGCCTATGACTTCTGCAGGGAAAAAAATCCTCTTAGTTTTAGCAGAGACGAGCTCAGGAGAGAGACTCAGCAGAGGGGT